TGGTTCTCACTTATTCTATTATATTTATAATAATTAAATGATTGATTAATTTTTCTTTGACACATCAAGGATGGCCGTTTATGTATTTGCTATAAAGATCTAATAGATAATTTTGAGCAAGTTATGCAAAGTGTTTGTCATCAAGAAAACACTAGTCAAACATTCCCTGTAATTATGGGTGTAAATGCATTCCGTGGCTTTCTAGATGAATTTAGAAATTTATATAGGAATGAAGAAAAAATTAAATCTAAAGTAAATATTATGTTATATATTATCCATGTAAATACTTTTTATCAAAACTAAACTATATTATTTCATTTAAAGGGGAAGAAAAGAAAACGAAAGAAAATGGAATTATCAGTGAGTATAAGTATATTTCTTCAAATAATTGTAATTTGGTAGTATAGTACTTACTTGATATTGAAAAATTAAATTAGTAAATGTGATTCTAATTTTATATGTACTTACATACAATAAAACTTTCCTAACTCGATACTCTGAGGGGTAGGAAAAAACTTTGAGTAACAGACGCTTCAAGTTGGAGAACAATAGAATAAAAAATGATGATTTTAAATAGATTTGTATTTTTACCTCTTGCATTATATAAAGAATCTTTGATAGTGGTTGTTTTTGTCTTAAACAGCCTGTGTAACACCTTTCAACAAAATGTTCAATGTAACTAATGGAATTAAACAGTCTTGCTCTTGTTAAACAAGAGGAGGTCGTCTTGCTTTTTTTGAACTGGAACATTGTCTGAAAATTGGTGTTGGATACTAGATACAACTGTCTAAAAATTTCAAGGAAATTCAATAATTAGGATCAGTTTGAATAGAATGAGTATTAAAATTCAAGTCAGGGAAGTTGAACGTAACATAAATCAGAGTCAGAACCATGAAAAACATTGACTTGGAGAAAATTCAAGTTAAGAAATTCAAGTTAAGAAATTCAAGTTGGAGAAGTTAAATCCCTATGCTATTCCATTGACCTACTAAACCTACTAAAGTACAGTAATACCTCACTTAATGTGGGGGATAAGTTCCTAGATGACAAAGTTCTAAACAAAACAGTGTCATTTTAATATAGAGTAAATAGGGAAAGGGGAACGTAGAACCAAAAATAAACAAATTTTACTTCAATTTTAAGTTATATTATTAAGAAAATTAATATAATAATATGTTAAATAACACACAAACATGTGTTAAAAATTTTAATATCTATCTTTAGGAATATATGGGTCATAAATTCATGGCTGTTGTTATAAACATTCCTACTGCTTGCGAAATATGTTCTTCTTTTATGTGGTTAATGGAGAAGGGATTAGTCTGTCAAGGTAAATAATAATAATAATTACATATAAAATTCAATAATTTCATAAAAATATTAAAATTTTGATAAAATTATTAAATACATTGTCGTTTTTTTTATCCAGGATGTAAATTGACCTGTCATAAAAAGTGTTACACTAAAGTTAATGTATATTGTAAGAATTGCCTCAGCCAACATGTAAGAAATTTTTTATAATTATCTAATAAAATTAAATAAGTGAAATAAAATAAAGAATTTTAATTTTAATTAGGAGAAGCGTGTTTTTGGTGCTCCATTAGAATATCTAGTATCATCTGAGATTAGAATTCCTATTGTTGTTGAACGATTAATAACAGTAATAGAATTAAAAGGATTGTATACAGAAGGTATCTACAGGAAGTCTGGAATTGCTTCCAAAGTACGAAAATTAAAAGATCTAATGGAAGAAGGTATGTAAAATGTAGAGAATATTTAATTTAAAATTCAATAGCATTTTTTAACTAATTTTTTTTTATATTTAGAATTTTATTTTTATGCTGTAGGATAAACAAATAATTAATTATAGATTTAAATGAAATCTGAAAATACATTTATTGTTCATACATTATTAATTTATATATTCTTCTTCTTCAACTACTATTTAGAATTAGGCATTCTAACCTGTTTTTAATTTATATAATTGATAAAAATATAATAGTAAAATTTGATACTTTTGGCTTTTGTTTTTAGGCATAAATATGTTTGTATCTTGGAAAATTTTATGTAAAATTTTTGAAATGTTAGTAATACACAGGTTGTTTAAAAAGAAACTGAACTTTTGCTCTACAAATATAACTAGATGGTGCAACTAGTATTGATGATCAAATTTAAAATTTTGAACATGGTGTGGTCATCTGAAGTTATCAGACAAGCACACCGAAAAAACTTCCTTTTCAAAAATCATGAGCCAAGACCATGCTTATTATCTGCTTTTATGATTCCAAGGGTATTGTGCACAAAGAATTTGTCCCAAATGTTCAGAATGTTACCAGAGAATATTATTTGGATATTTTGGAACATCTTTGGAACTAAATTTTATGCATACAGCTGGAGTATCATGCTCAAGGAAGCTGGATACTGCTGCATGACAATGCACGCTTACACTACATCATTGCCGTTGCCAATTTTTGGCTTGAAAAGGTATTTTAACCCTAGATCGTCCACCCTATTCTCCCAATCTGGTTCCCTGTGACTGTTTTCAAAACTTAAGATTCCAATGAAAGGGACCCGTTACAAGGACATTCCCAAGATTAAGGCTGCTTTAACCACAGTACTGAATCAGGTGCCAAATCAGCAGCTGAAAAAGTCCATTGAAGTGCTCATTACTCATTTTGAATGTTGTATTGCTGCAGAGGGATCTTATTTCAAATAAATAAAAATATTGTTTTTTCTTCATAGAGGAAAAGTTTGATTTCTTTCTAGACAGTCTGTGTATATTTTAAATTTGCATTTATTTTATCTGATTTTAAGTATTGCTTAATCAAAATGTCGTTGACCATTATTGTAACTTGTTGGCTATTTAGATTAAAAATATCAGTCTTCAAAATTTATGATTTTAGTTGATACAATTAATGCAATGTTTTACTTTAACAACTGTTGCAATGAACATTTACAATGAAGAATTATTGCTTTTAGTACCATTTTATCAATATTTCAATATTTTCTTGAGTAGGTATAGTCTGTTATTAACTATTGAATACTGACATATTTTAAAAATAATGTGTTTACTGCAAATAGATGTTAGATTTCTATTAATAACTTTATAATTTATTTTATTAGGAAAGATTTGGTAAAACGTGTCAAAATCTTCTTTCATGTGAACTTTATACATAAAAATTATTAATAAAATTGTCAATTCCTTTAGATGAATCTTAAATTTAAAAATAAAATAAAGTACTAGTTACTTGGTTTTTTATATATGAAATAATCTTATTTCTGGTTCTATCTATTTTAAAACAGATGTATAATTTACAATAATTACTACTACTATTTTTTCAGATCCCTCTTCTGTTGATTTAGATTCTTTTCCTGTTCATGTGCTGACCACAGTTTTGAAATCCTTTTTCAGAGAAATGCCAGAACCATTAATGACTTATGAACTCTATGACGATTTTATTAGAGCATGTGGTATGATAAACATTAATATATTTTCATGTAATTGATAGTTTTAAATTTATATTTTGCATAATTTTTTATTTTAAGAACTCTCTGATTTCATGGAACGAATTCAAACAATATACATCCATCTTCATAAGCTTCCTGTAGCAAATTTTGATGTATTAGAGAGACTTGTCTTCCATTTAGCCAGGTATACTGCTTATAAATATAATAATGCTTCAATTTTGATTTTAAAGTAATTTGGCTGTTATATTATTTTAGAGTGGCACAACAAGAAGAATATAATCGCATGTCAATAAATGCACTAGCCATAATATTTGCACCTTGTATTTTGAGGACTAATAAGAAGTTACGGGTACAAGATACATTGGAAGATGTTGGAAAACAAACTTTGTAAGATTTAAATATTTCTACATTAAATTAATTATTTAGTTATTTACATAAATGTATGTTTCTTATAGGTGTATAGAAACAATTTTAAAGAAACAACTTCATCAAGTACGAACAACACTGGCAGATATTGATACATTAGATGCAGCTTGTCACACAGCAACATCAAGATTAAGTTCACTTCGATCATCAAAGGTACATAAATTTTTTAATTTGGATATAAATTCTCCTTGGCTGTAATTTAAAGTTTTCTAAGTTTATAAACATGGCTTTCAGATTTTCCTGCTTCAAGAAAATGACAATAAATCATCTAATGTAGAAAATTTTGAGGAAGAAATATTGACACAGCATATTGAAAATATGCAGAATGAAAAGTAAATAATTTCTGAATTAAAATTATGACCATTAAAATATTTTTGTAATTTTTATTCTTTGAATTACAGAGTTCTTTTAACCACCGTTTTACCTTCACTGTGGCATACTCAAGAAGGTTCAGATGATGATCTTCTAAGCACAGATATGGATAGCAATACTGGTAGTGTTGATGATATATGCAGTAATCAATATTCTGACACACTCTCTTCAGGTGATCCACCAGGTTAGTTTTAATTGAATGCAAGTATAGATGTGCTTTTGATATTTAAAAATAACAAGAATATATCTTACAGCCAAGCTTCAGCCTAATAATTTGAAACATTTAACCAAGAATAGAGTATTGGTACCTAAAAGACGCCTGCCATCAAGATTTGTACATAATTCATCTCAGCAAGATAAAAACAAGATGGATGAGAGTGTTGTATCATTCTTTCACCCGCAAGATGTAGATCAAGAAGAAGCCATCAGAGTTTAAACAAAATATATATGTACTACATATATTTTGAAAAGAGAATTCTACTTGTAACTTCTTTAAGAAGTTTTTAAATAGCATAAATTTATTTTGCTCATTATTGTTGTTGTTTTTGTATTTATATAAAATATTCCTTCAAACTATTATAGAAATATTTGTTATTTTGAATTAAAAATAATAGATTTATATCTTTGATATAATTTGCATTGTGGATTCCTTTATAGGAATGGAAGAGATGCAGAAATCTAGCAGTGCTAGAGAAAATGCAATTATTATAAAGAATTGGGATCAAATTCTCTTGCATTTTATAAAAGAAATCTCATTCATTCATAAATCCAGTACATTAAGAATTCGTTATGAAGCATAATTGTTACAATATTGTGAAAAGTTTAGCATTTGTGAATATATTGTAAGTAAAAGGATTAAAAATCTTCTAGAATAATGTTAAAAGTCAATTTTCTTCATTATTTTTTTTAAAGTAAGTACTTTTAATGTTAAAACAATAATTCTTCTTGTTGTAATAGTATTCATCTACAAAGAAATCTACTGTAACTGTGTTTGTGATTTGTTTAATGTTTGATATATGTATATTTATACATAAGTGTCGGACAATATTTTCGATCCTTTTAATACTCAGTATATTTCAAAAATCAGCCAAAATATATCATTGTACATTAGACATTTTTTTAAAATACAAAAAAAATATTATATATATTGTATACACAAATTCATATGCAAGCATGTTTATATATATAAGCATATGATTTTGTATAAAGGTTATCTGACTTTGTCTTCCACACCATACACCATGGGGAAATTATCTCAAACATGGTTCAGATTTTCTTTTTTTTTTTTTTTAGTTATTTATAAAATGTCATTTGTATAAATTATTTAGATGAAATATTTAACAATGGAAGAACCATTGTATCTATAATGTTTGTCCATTTAAAATGTATTATAAGAAGGATATATTGACGTTAATGTTCCAGTTTTCTCAAAATAAGACTAACAGGATCTTCCACTTATCTATTTTGAGTATCGTACTAATCTGGTATCAGTTGCTGTTTATTCTGTATAGCTTTGCATTAAATTGCTGTGTACAGCGATCACCACTCCAATATCATTATTGTACGTTTGTATGGAGAAGTTACACCATCGTTGTATAAATGAAAAATGATTTTTTTCCCTACTCCTCATCTTAAGAAAGAATTGTGGAAATCTTGTGTATTTGTGAACATTTTGCTAAAAGTAAAAATATATATATTTATAATTTTGCATTAAAGTAATTTCAGAGATTTTAATCGTTGAATGGAAATTTGTGTGTTATATTTAATTAAATTTACATTTGCATAAAAGTTTTTACAATATACAGTTTTGATTTGGAAGAATTTTTAAATATATTAATTTCTAATGTATACATGTTTGCCTACTCTATAATATATATATATATAAGTTGATACATAATTTTAATATTTAAATTAAAACATTATGTTTACACTAAATATAGTATTATTTAATGTTAGATACAACATGCAATGTTTCATAGGATCTAATGTTTAATTTTTTCCCGTAGATTTGATATCAAACTGATATTTAAGTTGTTAGTCTAGCTAGAAATTTTTTATTGTAAAATAATTTTATAAACTTCAATCGTTTTTAATATGATTTTAGACGAAACAATGCCATTTTCGTTTACTGTAGCTAATTGTTACGTTTATGTAAACATTTTCGGATTCTTTTAAAGTAGCCAATTATTAAAAAATTAAGTTAATTTTAAAAATGAATAGGGCGTATCAAGAATTCGAACGTTGGCTAAAAGAACCAAGTATTTTAGCTACTTTTCTAAGAAAAATTGAAACACTTACGGGAATCCCTCAAACTATTTTTGCTTTTGGTAAGGAAGACATAATTTTAGATTTTAAAAAACCAAATTTCATAAATTATTTCAATCTCTCCTAGTTTGCTCCATATTGATCGTGCTCCATCTAATTTCCGGTTATACAGCAGAATTACTGAGCAACTTTATCACTTTAATATATCCCGCTTTTTGCACGTATGTAAGACAATAATATACAAATTCTGTATAAAAATTAGTAAACAAGTCTCTTGCAGGATATACTCCATTGAAAATGGGAAATTTTACGACCAGACAAGATTGCTGAAATATTGGTTGCTTCTAGGAATAGTAACGCTGTTTGAACATTGGAAACAAGGTCTCCTGGAATACGTTACGTATTTTTGGTTGCTTAAGGTAAGTCTGATCGTTATTATCGATTTATCATCATGTATTTTATTCATTCTCTTTTCTAGACTATTTTTTTCGTTTGGAGCTTCACCGAATCGCCTTTCGTTGGTTCTCACTTATTCTATATATTAATAATGCATCCTGTATATGTTATGATTTTTGGAGCAACGAGTTTATCTCGCCGAAGTTCTGGAGTGGATACTGTGGATTATTTCGAATCTTTTGACGTTACACTAGGTATTAATTAAATAAAACAATTTTTAAAATAATTAGAAGTGGGGATAATCTTCAATTTTCCAGATACTTCGGAACGATTTTTATCTGTAACTGAAATTGAAGAGATATACACAGAACCGCCAAAAACCGATTTCTGTTCGTATAAATCAAATGCTGCTGTTAATGCAGCTCCTGAAAGAGTCCAACCAGAAGTCTCTCCAGAAACGGGAGATTCCACTGCTACAGAATTAGAAGTGGATTTTACAGTTCTGTCTAGAGAAATTACTCTTGTAGAATCGGATGATTATGCAATTCCCTCTGGACAAATGACTCCAACAGGACCCAAATCAATTACTGGTTCTTCTGAAGCAGTAACCTCGACAGAAACTGAAAAACCTACAATTATAAGTCGTATATCAAGAGATGTAACAAGCGAAGAAGCAACAACTAGGAGTTCATTGACAGAACTGGCTTCTACTGGATCTAGAATGATTGGATTATCAGATGAAGTAGCTTCTACAGATTTTCAATCGGAAGCCACACGTTTGTCGGGAGAGAATATGTTTTCAGGTTCTCATGCAGGAATTACATTTTTGTCAGGAGAGCGAACATCCTTAAAATCTCAGACCCATTCTCCACGTTTATCAGAAGTAATTTCTGAGAGATCTCAACAAAAGGTTGGACTTTTATCAGACGAAATTTCTGTTGCGAATTCCCAGTCACAGATTTCAAGATTGTCGAGAGAGGCATCTCGCGCGGGATCTCAAACACAAATTTTCACAGATCTATCACAGGAAAATATTCCTTCAGGATCCCAAGCAGAAATTTTAAGACGCCTTTCGGGACAGATGACTCCTACAGGACAGCAATCAGAAATATCGACACGTAAATTGGGAGGAAGGTCTTCTATGAGTTCCCAAACACAATTTAAGCATTCTTCAGGAGAAATCATTCCTGGATCAACTGAATCTCGCCCATCGGGAGAAATTTCAGAAACAGTAGCGTTTGAAACACCATCTCCAACAAATCAGTCAGAAAAGGCATCAGAAACCAGAGAGATGTCAGAAGGAAATTCGGATGTACAGAGGGATGCTTTAGAATTTCAAGTCACGCCTACCTACGCAACTCCTCCAGGAACCGAGGCCACATTTGAAACACCATCTCCATCAAATCAAGCAGAAGATGAAGCATTATCAGAAACCAGAGGAATATCAGAAGGAAATTCGGATGTACAGGGTGATTTTTTAGAACTTGAGGAGGAGGCATTTTTGGAAGAGGCGTTAATAGAAGAAGAATTTCCCGAAAACTTGTCTAATTGGCAAACTATACAGGAACCAGTCTCCGGAGAAGTCATGGAGGAAATCAACTTGATGCGCATAGTCCAAAGTGACGATACTGATTTTTCTGAACAAAAATACGAGGAAACGGAATATAGACATGATATCGGCCAGGGTATACAAGATGATAAAGGGGAAGATAATCAACATAACGTCGAAGTAATCTTCAAAAATAGCAAAGATTTGGCACCTAAAGATGATGATTCGGATTAATACGTAAACACCTCGAAAAAAGAATCAAAATTTTAAATTTAAAAAATCTTTACTCTCAAGTTAATAAATCACACTTATAAATTAAATTTATAATGTTTAATTAGATATTTACGCAAAAATTAATATCTACAATACACCCATAAAAAAATGGCGGTTGTGTAGTTGAACACTTCGCTTTCAGATGGCGTTAGTTACGCGAAAAGACTCGAACATACTACAAATATACTTTTTAAAATGCAAGATTAAAAAACACAATTTATATATTTTAACGTTTTTAGAAATTCAAAAAATAAATANTGTCGTTAACTTAAGTTACGATGCGTCCTATACGTCAGATCTTCATTTTATGACACTTCAAAAAGTGACGTTATAATTGAAGGCCAGGCGCGCGAAAGTTTTCCTTAAATTGGAAACGAAGAATCACTTTTAGTTGTGTTTAACCTCATAAAAAAAAAAAGAAAACTGTAGAAGGTATTCATCGAGGAAAATATTCTAGACTATATATATATATATTGTAATAATGGAAGAGAGCATTGAACTGTATTGGAATCTTCCTTCTGTCTCATCCGGTTATCGTAAAACGTAACCACACCTAAAAAAATGGCGGTTGTGTAGTTGAACACTTCGCTTTCAGATGGCGTTAGTTACGCGAAAAGGCTCGAACATACTACAAATATACTTTTTAAAATGCAAGATTAAAAAACACAATTTATATATTTTAACGTTTTTAGAAATTCAAAAAATAAATTAAACAATAAATAAATTCGTAGCGTGACACGAAGAGAAGTACATTAATTTCGTTTTGATTTTATTTATTTTTTTAATCCATTTACACCTAATTTTCTCTCTTCATGTTCGACATACTTTTTCCGGTTTTTCTGTCCCTGATACAAACGTCCTTGAGGGCTATGAATTGCTTAGACAACTTTTCAAACTTGTTTGACTTCTTACTCCAGATAAAGTAATCTCTAGGATTTCTTTTTCTAGATATTTTTTTATTTCCTTGTTTTTTTTTAGATGATACCGAGCATTTACTAGTATCTAAACTGATTACCACTTTCCAGAGTTTGCAAAAATCTGTTTCCTGCACACAATTCCTTCGTATTTACCGAAATTACAGCTTTGTTTCGATTTTTTTTTGAGGATTTTGCCTTACAAAAATCTTAATTTCTTCCATAATTTTTCATTTTTTAAATACAAAATCGTTGCTAAAAATAATTAACTCGTATCTATTATTTTTTTATTTTTTTTTGCTTAATTCTTTAATTATTTCCGCATTCTCGCGATTAGATTTTCAAATTTGTATTTTTGCATTACGCGATTTTGTAGCGGGTTACGTCGTCTGTACAGTGTGTTTGCGAGTGTAGTTACAAAAATTGCAAATTTTAAATTCTCTGTTTGTAGAATGGGAATCGTCTACGTTACTACGTTACCTTCATTGAGTCAATAGGTAACAGGTGCGAAACACCTGCTTCATTTATTTTCCCTACGCTATTTTTGCATTAACGTGCTAACGACTATCGCTAAATTCCACCGAAATATAAACTCATATATTGCTAATTAGCAGATAAAACTGTCGAAGCGTTAATACAGATGCAAGAGCGATAATGCATGCGCCATTTTTTTGTTTAATTTTTTTGCACGGTTTAGAAGTCTAAAAATAAAAGTGTGGACGTTCCGGCGAGTTTTTAAGCGAATAAATCTCGTTTCCTACTTTTTTTTTCTTAAGTCGTAGACGTAAGTCGAAGCGATAAGATTTAATTTTACGAGCGTTACGAAGCGTCACGTTACTCTAAACGTTCTCACAAGATACATTTTCATCAACGGCGTTTCGTATCCATTGCCATAATGGCCGACGTCTCGTATGACGAGTCTTTGAATTGTTTTTGCTGTTCGTTAAAGTGAATTTGATAAACAATCGCGACGACGAATCGCCGAATTGTAGCGATATCGCGGCGTTCTTACAAGTGACGTCGCGAACGACAAAATTTGAATGCAGTTTAGCGAAATTGATTGTTACTACGTCATATCATTCGTTTTGGTTCAAAAATACGATTTTAAGGCGGCTTTATCGCTGTTTTTTGTTTATATAAAACTACAATTTTTAATCTAATCTTCGAAAATTATCGACGTGGCTCTATATAAACCCCGCGTTTTGTTGGTATAAACACTTATTCGAGGGTCGCTTGTTAGATTTCTGCTCTCGTTTTTCACTCTTGCGTCTCGCGAGCTTTAAGGAACAATTGAAAAAAAAATCGACGAAAACAGAGCGTAATTGTTTAACGATAAGTAAATATCCGTAACTTAAGAGGTTGTAACCTCGCCAGACACGCGATGACCTAGAAAATCACACGCGCACACTGTGGTTGCGTCACCGTTACGTCACACCATTTTCGTCTCGCATTAATTAGAGAGACGTATACATTTAAATAAGAGTAATCTCCCTCTTTGATATGCTCGAAATGATTCTAATCGCATTCAACCACCCGATGCACGGATAAAATGGAATCTCTGCTTTTTCTTATGCAACAGAACGGTGAAGTAGCGGTGACGTCACCTGCGTCATTTTTGTGGAGGAGTGGCAACACTAAAACGAAGTTTTAAAAATTAAATATCGGGAAAGAAGGGCGATAACACCATCTGTTCATCTTTGTATTCTTTTTTCTTTTGTTATCTAAGATCCGATTTAGAAAGTTCTATTTAAGATGAAAATGCCACGTCGAAACAAAGTGTAGATTAGCGTAAAGGATAAAAATTATTTTATTTTTATGTAATCTTTTCCCTTTATCAAAAGTGGGGCGTTGGATTAAAGAGACGATTATAAAAGTCCATACGCTCCGAAGCTGGAAACTTTATTATTTTTAGATCTTAACAACGTCGAAACTGTGAAAATCGTTGGTAAAAGGATAAATTTTCGAATTACAAAAGATTTTTTCCTTCGAAATTAAAGTTTATCAGGCTGAATGCTGTTTTTTTTTTTTCTGAATTCAAAAGCGACTTAGAGTAATTTCTCTAGTATCTGAACTAAGAATTGAATCTCAGACAGGCTTCTATCGATTATTTGAGGTCTTCCTAGGACACATTTAAGCAACAAACGCAAAAATTGTTATACGTGCGTGCCATTTATGTGCGCCTTAATGATTAATTTTTTTTGTAGAAACAGTTTAGATCGGATGAAGCTGAAGAAGATTGCACAGAAGCGAAACCATTCACGAGATTTTACCAATTAAAAATATTGCAATATCCCAGAAAGAATTGTGTTATACCGCGTTACAAAAGTAACGATCTGGTAACACGTGATCCAGTGTAAACAACACTTTCCAGATTGATGATGATTTTAATTATTTCGCAGAAATCCGAAGATACAGCAGACAAGATTTCCACATATTAATGCGTTCTAATTTGCATTTTAAAAAACACGATCATCGTCTAGGCCTATTACTAGATATTATACGAGGAATTGTCTCAAGAATTGTGTAGAAAATGTTTTAATTGTGGCATTCTCCTGAGTTAATAATGCAAAAAGTAGTACAACGAGAAGGACTAGAATTATAACAATAATGTGAGCTTCATGTCTGTCGTTAACTTAAGTTACGATGCGTCCTATACGTCAGATCTTCATTTTATGACACTTCAAAAAGTGACGTTATAATTGAAGGCCAGGCGCGCGAAAGTTTTCCTTAAATTGGAAACGAAGAATCACTTTTAGTTGTGTTTAACCTCATAAAAAAAAAAGAAAACTGTAGAAGGTATTCATCGAGGAAAATATTCTAGACTATATATATATATATTGTAATAATGGAAGAGAGCATTGAACTGTATTGGAATCTTCCTTCTGTCTCATCCGGTTATCGTAAAACGTAACCACACCTGTTACTTTTACACGATGCTGTTTAATTTAAGAAGAAAGAATATAAAAATATGCCATTTATCTACTTTGAATATACCAAAATCCACTTTGAAGATAGTTGGACGTAGGCATTTTTGTGACGTGACAGATTGAACATACTCACTACCTGTAACATCCAGCTTTTTAAGAGACTAGCAAACAAGTTACCCTTGTCCATCACTCTAGTTATGACCCAGTGGTTGGTACGAAGGGAAAATCCAGGTTGGCCTCTCTCTCTTTAGTTTTAATGCCTTCGTGACCTCGTACGGTATGCTGAAGGGCGTGGTGAAGAGATATTTATGTCAGGTATTTAACAGGATGAATAGTGTTGAGACAACTGATAAACGTGTAGTTATATACAATAGAACACATCTGAATCATCCCATCAAGTGTGATGCACTCTTTCCTTAAAGGGAGGTTCAGATCTGTGTTTAATCATGTGTAAAATCAAGAATACTCTTAGAATATGTGTTTTATCATTTATTATACTTTTTGAGAGTCGTAAAACAGTCGACCCCCTCTTAAAAAAAAAAATGGGAAGAAAGAATGTTCTAGAAGCTCGTTCGATAAATTAAAATAGCAATTTATGCAAACCTTGACAAAAATTAAACTAGGCTCGAACACAATTGAAGGCTGAACGTTATACAGGTCTTAATTGTCATTTGTGTTTTTTTTTTTTTTTTTATTTTTGCTATGCAAACAAACGAATTCAAACGCGACACGTTATCGATTGCATAGCATCTTGTGTTTAATTTATTGATTGAACTCAATGCTCATCTTTTAAAGATAGAAAAGCATAACACACACAAAACACTGAGCCGTTTATGCTCAGTGTTTTGTGTGTTCATCATCATATAAACAACCGAAAATTGTATCCATCATTTCGAGAACATTTTAAAGTGGTAAAATCTGAAATTTAGACTAAACAAAAAATTTCTTATAATTTATGCATGCAAAAATGAAAATTTCTTAAATTTATACGAAAAAGGACAAACTTCTAGATTGGTGTTTTAAAAAAGTGGAAAATTTCTAAGTTTGCCAGAGGAAAAAAGTTTTGAACTCCAGAACACCGATAAAAATTTTTTTGAAATTAAAGAATGAATGCTTCTTGAACATGTTTAAAAAATTTTTAAATGTTGCTGGGAGTTTAACACTTTTACTAACACTATTCTAAAAGCTTTTAATACGTGTAATTCTAGGGGAGAATGTTCTTGTATAATGGCTGTAATTAGACTCGATGGTGTATGCGTAGAACCATCAATTTTTTTAACTTTATAATTCGATAAGTCGATATATTTAGTCAACAGAAAGAAAGAAAATCC